GCACCTGAGGGCAGCCAGATGGTTGGTAGCTCAGCAGTGGCTTCTGTTGGCAAAAGACAGAACCCTCAACCCCATGCCAGTACTAATCACTTACAGTCGTGACTTTTTATTGTTGCTACTGTGGCTAAATGCCTAGCAAGAAGCAACTTAATGGAATAGAGGTTTATTTGGCTTCTGGTTTAAGGGGTCCAGCATCATGGCAGGGAAGTCATGACAGCAGACTCAGCTCATATCTGTGGAGGTGGAAGCTTGCTCACATCTGAGCAGATTGGAAAACAGAGAAAAGGGAGTGCCAGCAATCAGCCGGCTTTCTCCTTTTCCCTATTTTATTTTCTTCAGGATCCCTGCCCATGAGGAGATGCCACCCACACTCAGGGTGGATCTTTTCTCCTCAGTTAAACCTTTCTGGAAATGCCTTCACAGACACATGTTCCAAATGTGTCTCCTAAGTGATTCTAAATCCAGTCAAGTTGACACTGAAGATTAACCACCACACCACTCTGCCTGCCTTCTGCAGAGACCTGGGCACTTCTCTGGGCCACCTGCAGGTGCTGTGGCTAGCTCGCTGTGGCCTGACTGACTTGGATGGCATTGGCTCCTTCTTGGCACTGAAGGTAAGTCTGTAGCACTCAGGGACAAAGCAACAGAGATTGAGTCAGACCCCAACTGAGATTCTCCCATGTGGTCCTCAGGAACTTTATGTCTCCTACAACAATATCTCAGACCTGAGCCCACTGTGCCTGCTGGAGCAGCTGGAGGTGCTGGACCTCGAGGGCAACGATGTGGAGGACCTGGGGCAGATGCGGTACCTGCAGCTGTGCCCAAGGTTGGCCACGCTCACGCTGGAGGGGAATCTGGTGTGCTTGAAGCCAGACCCTGGTCCTTCCAACAAGGTGTGGGTGCTGAACACCCAGTCAGCATACACTTGGCAGGGACACCTCCATCCCAAAACGCCCATATGTACCTTCTGGCTTGTTCTCCATGAGAACTATCTCTTCTGTCACTGGAGGCTTAAACAGCCTAACTATTTGGATATATCAGGCATATACAAGCTCCTTTGCAGCAGGTAAATCCACATGCATCCCACAAAGGCCATGCATGCTCTAAGCGCAGTGTCCACCTCAATAGCTGCTTAATGTAGACCCATAATCAGTTCCACATGCTAAAGGACTTCCCTGAACCTTGGCTATGGGCTTGGAGGGTGAGGGTACCCATAAGCTCCAGTAGGATGAGGCAGTATCACTACCCTATCTCCTCTGTCTTGTGCCATTAGCAGTTTGGAAGAGGGAGTCCCAGGAAACAGCTGGCCTGCAGGGTCCACCAGACCCAGGTCTGCTGTCCCCTTCCCTTTACCTTTTAGGCACCCCAGGACTACAACTATAGGGTAGAGGTAAAGAAGCTTATCCCCCAGCTCCACATGCTAGATGAGGTACCCACCACATGCACCAACCTGCCTGCTCCCCAGAAACTGAACGAGGACTGGCTGATGGTGAAGGAGGCCATCAAGGAAGGCAGCGTGCTTGACATTCTCCTCCCTCGGCTGGGTAGGCCAGACACTTACTATGGACCTCGATACTATGCCCCTCCCTCTGACTCTAGAAGGGACCTCCTTCAACCCTAAAGGAAGATGGGTCTCTACCAGTACCCCAAGAAAAAAAGGACCTCCACTAGCTCCCCAGGCCTTGCAGAGATGGGTGACCACTGCATTCTGTTCCCTTTCCCAGCCTTATCTCCTAGTCCCCAGAACCATGCAGATTGTCTCCCCCCCCCCCCCCCCCGTTCAGGAAACTCCCATTAGGAGCACCAGTTGGATTCCCCTTTCCTATGTTGAGAGAGAGGAGGGTCTGAGGCTGAAGTCTTTTAGGAAGGGAAAGGAACCATCACAGGCCAACCCCTAGGTCACACAGCTTCTTGAGTGACAGGCTGTGCTCTACAGTCTGAGTTTGAAACATACTGGCTAGCATAAGCCCAGATCTCTGGATTTGACCCTGGACAGATTGTTCCCATGGAACCACCATACAGAAACTTGACCCAACCTTACCTGTGCCTGAGACCCAGCCATGGGCTCTGTCCTTGCTGGTCCCTGAGGACCCCTTGCCTGAAGGTCTGCTTTCTGAGAACCCAGCCACAGAAGACCATGCCAGCAACCTCACCCATGGTAACTAAACCTATTTGGCCCAGAGCTGACCCTGCAGTACCTTGACCCCAAACCAGGCATAGCCACACCCTCTTCTTCAGGTGCTGGTCAAGTTCTCTGTGGGAACCCCACCAAAGGCCTGCGGGAACGTAGATACCAGTACCAGGTATGCCTTCCCCCCACTCCAAAGTGGGCAATGACTACAGCTCTCCTTCCCAAAGTAGACCATCACCTATTGCCCTCATGCCATAGTAAACCATTACCCAGAGTTCTTCCCCTGAATTGGAACACCAGAGCTTTCCCCACCAGTAGTGTTTAGGACTACTGGCATGTCCATGTTCTGGCTCTCCCATTCCAGGGTCAAGGTCCCCATACCAGCCCTTTCCCTTCCTTAGGAATGGGCATCCCTGGAGAAGCTGCCCCCACATAGGCCAGATCTGGCCACCAGCCCCTCCACCCCAAGGCCTGATCCTGCAGAAATCTGTGACCAGGACATGACTGGGCTTCAGGCCTGGAGGGAGCCTGGCCTGCGGTTGGTGTCCCTTTCCCTGCCAGCCCTATCACCTTTTGTCCTGTCTTTGGGGGAGGGGGGCACTGGGATAGAAACTGTCTTGGCTGAGCAGTCATTGGTCCCCCAAGATGCCAAAGGAGCCACAGGCCAGTAATCCATCCCAGTGTGATGGCATTAGGACTGAGCCTGAGACAGACATGGTTGCAGCTCTGCCTTCTCCCACCTCAGTCCCCTTCTCCACAGGCAGCTGGACTTCCAGCAAGAAAGGCTTGCTCAGGCTCCAGCTCAGGACCCACAGAAGGTTCCCGAAGAACAGGAAGACCAGACTGGAACCAATACTTCCCTAACTACCCCACGCTTGGCCTCAGGTACTACCTCGGTGCCTGAGAGCAAGCTAACCCCACACTTGGGTATGGATGTCCCCATCATAATATAGTCCAGCCCCTTCCTTTGCCGGGCTCTGGAAGGGGCTGCATGAGGCAGTTCTCTTCTCCTCTTGGTGGAGTAGGGGTGGGCGTACTGGTGAGGGTCAATCCTAGCTCCTCCTCCATTCCATGACCTGAGCTATATGAGACGGGGTGGGGGGGCATTCCACAAAAGGATACAGGGCAAGTCCAGAGGCAAGCACCTGTTGGGAGCCTCATGGTGGTCAGGGGCATCCAGAAGCAGACCCCAGTTCTCAGGAGAAACTGGTAGGAATCCAGGGGTGAAAAAGTGGCCAACAAAACCACCAGAAGACTAAGGCAGAGAGGGATAGGAATATTCAGTGGCTTCAATCCTAATCCAATGCAGAATTAGGCCAGGCAGAACCCTTTCCAAGGGAGCCAGAGTGACTGCTGCTTCATTGGAGAGACCGTTACCCTGCAATGCCTTAGAAAAGCACACTATGGGCACAAGGTATAAAGGTTGTCAACAACTGTCTCTGAGGGCCCAAACAACCACACTTTTGCCCCTTGTAGATGGGCTGGTGCTTGGGGCAGTGGTCAGGAAGAGGGCCCTGAGAGTAAAGCAGGATCAACAGCTGGTCCCCTAGTGGACAAGAACTGCACAGGTTAAAGGACAGTGGAAAGGTGACCAGAAGAAGGGTTGACTGGAATGGTGTCTAGCCCTCTTGCAACAGATGTCAGGCCTAGAAGGCACAGGATGACCCCATCCACCCACCTCACACTAAAACAGAAGCTTTAAGAACTGGCCTGGAGGCACCAGGCCTTCAGGGATGAACACACACACAGGATGGAGCTCAGATAACCCAAGCCAGAGCCCAGTCACTTTGTTTGCCTTAGAGCAGTGGTTCTCAACCTTCCTAATGCTGTGACCCTGTAATATAGTTCCTCATGTTGTGGTGACCCCAACCATAAAATTATTTTGTTGCTACGTCTTAACTGTAATGTTGCTACTGTTATGAATCATGATGTAAATAATTGATATTCAGGATGTCTGATAATGCCATCCCTGTGGTGATGGTGACCTCAGGTTGAGAACCGTTCTTGAGACAGCCACAGGCCTGAAGTTATATTTTCCCTGGAAAGCAGATGAAGCAGAGCAAGGGGATGTGGCCTAGTGGGGCAGGAATGCTTCATTCTGTAGGTTCCACAAAGGACACTGAAACCCTCTCTACCTGTGGTTACACTGCCCCTAGCCTACCACCATCTCCAAACTGCAAGATTATGGGTGGGCAGCAACTAACACTCCCCCACCTTGTTTGCCAGGTCCTCTCTAACATGCTGTTTTCTTCCTTGTTTTCCAGAATTTTCCAGGACATCAGGCCTTCACCTGATCCCTTCTCCCCCAAAGTACCCAATGCCACCTGAGTCAGGCAGTGGTTCCTCAGGGAGATCTGCAGACCTGCCCTTCAGGGGGCGTAGGCTTAGAGTCCTGGGTAGCTTGGGGCCTAGCCTGGGTGAGGGGTCTGGCCTGGGTGAGAGATTGGCTGCAGTGACTGCCCTGAGAGCCCTAGAGGTGCCCTCAGGTCCCAGCCATCGAGTCCATGGATGTCCAGACCCAAAGCCAGCACTAGTTCCAGCAGCTTGCCCTCCAGGCCTCCGCTGCCTCCATCACTTGAACCCTATCCCTCCAGCCCATTCACTCCCTTAGTGTAACCCTCCCTCGTTGAGATCTCGTGGCCTGGATGGGGCCAAGGCTTAAATGGCTGGAGCTGAAGCTGGGCTCTGCCCCCAGGACTCTGGGCCACCTATGTGGTCCGAGTTCTAAGCCTGTTGTCCTAGGCCTTAAAAGGGCATAGCTATCCTGGGTAGATTTGCAGGTTTCCCTAAGTGCAGCAGTTCCTTTCTTTTGGACACCATATACCTACCCTCTGTAAAAGCCAAGTGAATCATTTTCGACTCTCAGGTGTGCAGAAATGTGCTTTACTTTATAAGCAATGGTTGGTTCAATAAATTATGCAGCTGGCACTGCCTGCCTGACCTGGCTGCCTTACAACCGCCGGAACAATTCCTCAGTGATGGGAGGGTAGCAGAGGAAGCGGAAGCCATATCTGCTCTCGGCTGAGTTCTGTACTGACAGGGCCACCATGGGGCAACTCAGGTCCACGCTTTTCCGGCACACCTGCAGAAAACACTGGAGCCTAAGAGCTGTGTGGACTGGCAGACCAGAGGAGCCTAAGAGCTGTGTGGACTGGCAGACCAGAGAACCTGGGGTGACAGCATCACACTCACCTGGACTTTTCGCTCCTGCCTACCCTGTGAGTCCTCGAGGCACACTCTTGAGGGACATTCTGGGATTGCAGGCAGAAGCTCCGATGTCTCAGTCTTCATGCCTTCCTGCTGTGCAGGAACTTCTCCGAGGTGAAGAAGCTTTCGGGTGCTCAGGAGTGGCAAGATATCCCGGGTCTCAGTGGGGCGAAGAGATCCTGAAGTCCTCAGTCCACTAGTGCGTTGCTGGTGAACACCTGGCCTGGAGATGTGGGAGGGACCTGAGGAGTATCCTAGTCAATTCGGGGCAAAGGTGGGAGTAATGCAAGACAGCATGGCCAGGGTGGCAGTCCTGTCCAAGGTGGCACCCAGGGAAATAGGCGGCAGGTTTTGCGAAGTAGAACCAGGGGCTCACACCTACCCTGGCTTCTTGCGCATGGCCCTAGCATACTGCACCCTGCCCTTGTGTGGGGATGAAGGACGATGCCGTTCTTCACCATGGTCAGCATTGGGCTCGGACTCTGGGAGCGGGAAGCGGTCAATGGACCAGTCAGTGTTGTCAGTGAAGATCTTCGAGCCCAGGGTCACACAGGGTGCAGCTTGATGCTCACTGAGGACCTGCAGGGCCATCAGGGCATGTCACTTACTCTAATCCAGTGAGGCCGCCCCTCTGCTCTTTGGCTGGGATCAACACTGACCTGGCCATGGGGGTTGACTAGCATTGTCACACAACCTCGGCTAGATTGGAAGTGGAAGGGATCCTGGCCTGAGGACACTGGCAGATGCTTCTTGGTCCTGCTGGCTCCTTCACCCCACACCTAGGAAAAGGCTGAGTGCTAAGTGAGGAACAGTGTAGGCCAGGGCAAGGCGATGTGTGCTGGCAGGCAGCAGGGCTCACCGTGATATGGTGCTGTGGGGCTAGCAGAGTGCCAGGTGGGAAGCGGTACATGCACACAGGGAAGTCCTTCACAAACTGCCGCAGAACAAAGCCGCCTAGGTCGACAGTCTCTGCCTGAGACTGGTTGAGGATACGGATGAACCTCTCTCGGTAGCTAACCGCAGCGATCTTCAGGCAGCAGCCAAGTGGGCTGGAGCCAGAAAGGGATACTGAGTAGGGAAGAGGGGCCCCATCCTCCCAGAAAGCCCATCCATCATGCAGCCCTCCCTGCTTTTTCTGGTGTGCTCATGGCTGGGCAGTCCTCACTTCAACTGGGGCCTTGCATACTGAAGGTGAAGGTCTGCAAAGGGCTCCAGAACAGTCTTGCTATCCGAGGGGGAGCGGCTTTTATGGAGATCTGGAAAAAGAAGTCCTTTAGGAGAGGGAGAACACAATAAAGAGTCCAATGGGGAAGTTCCCCAGGAGGCCAAACCAGGAGTCTGAATAATAGGGAAAGAAAGAGCAGCAGGGTTCAGATCCTGGGCAGAAGCAGCTGAGTCCTGGGGGCTGAAGGACCTGAGTAGGACTTTAGGTGGAAGTGAGAAGTTGCTAAAGGGCAAAAGGGAGGTGCACCCAACTCCACCTTCCATGTGTCCGCTGCCGCTCCTAGTGGATTCCTGCATCTGCTCAGAAGTTAAGTCTGTTCCCTGGGGTGAGTGGCCTGTCACCACCTTTCCTCCAGAATGCAGAACTAACTGGCAGCTGCTGTAGTCAGAGTCTGTACCCTCTGAGCTGCTGTTGTCTACCACAGGCAAGGCACTCCACTCCAGGCTTTTGCCAGGCTTCTCCACATGCTTGACACTCTCCGAGTCCGAGGCATCCATTTCAGAGGACTGCTGGGGCTGGGGCAGCCTGGGACCATGATATGTTCACTGGCTGCTTTGGTTCCTAAACCCAGGACCCATGCATGCCCCCCACCCCAGCCAGCCTCCCCAAGGCAATGGACATCCTGGTTTGTGTTCCAGGAACTCAAGAGTCAGAAGCAGCTCATGTTAAATTAATGGAGTTAATGATGACCTTGGAGCTCCTCCCCTTGTCTTGAACCCATTCCACATATTACATATCAGAACTGAAGCTTAAAGGGGTTCCATGACTTGTCTGGGGACACTTAAGGAAACAATGGGAACTGGTCCACTTCTGTCAGGCTAAGTCCTCCCTTCCCCCTGACCCCTGGGGACTCCCTGTCCAATGCAGTTACTTATGATCTGAGTGATAACTCATGTTGGAGAAGAGGTTGGGATATCGGTGGGCAATGCTGTTCCAGTCTACATCCTCCAACCGGAAACCCTGGCAGGAAATAAGAGGTATGTGGCTCTGCCGCCTTGCAGGGCTTCAGAGGCCTTATCATACACATGGAATGCCTCCTGTGACAAGCCTTGCTCACCTCTCCAGCAGTGGGAACCTCAGCATACTCAGAAGAGTCACTAGGGTCCTTTAGAACCTCTGCAGTGACCACCTGCAAGAAGGAACCATAGAAGCCAGGCGGTGGTGGTACGTGCCTTTAGTCGCAGCACTCAGGAGGCAGAGGCAAGTGGATCTCTGTGAGTTCCAGGCCAG